ATTTACCTAACTTAAGGTTCATAAGTAGGTGATATGCATGGATCAGCGAGTTCAGAATAAAGATATTAAGGTCTTCTGGAGTAGTTTTGTTCTAAGTGACAGAGACAATGTTAAGAGCGAAATCTATGGCTTGCTTTGTTGTTAACAACATATTTTTAGGCTCTTTTATTTCTCTCTTATTTTGCATTCTATAGTGAACTCCTTCTTAAACATACTTAGCTACCTAAATTATTAACATTGGCTTACTTTTTTGTACTTTACTGTATTCCTTCGTTCGTGTATCTACAGGTTCCGACTATATTAGCACTATGAGTATTACAAAATTTTCCTACCATTAACTATCATGTAATACTAGTTTTGTGGTTGCTTTTTGTTCGGCAATGTTAACTGACCATCTTGGTTGTGAAAGCCATTATCACCATCTTAAAATTTTGTATTATGCAGGATTACTCACACTATAACAACAGAAGACAAGGGTCAGGCAACAGATCCTTTATTAAGGAAATCAAAGCATATTTATATATTTTCATGTACATTATTATAGTTTAGTTAAGCAAACAAACACAGTCCTTTGATTGGTTGTTTCTCACTTAAAGTTAATCTTTCATCTATTTGTGACTGTTTCTTGAATGTCAGATCATCTATATGTTAACTGTATCCGCCTACGCAAAGCCTGCTGTGGTCGGTTTTGAATCAGTCTTGTTCATATTTTCTCACGACAAATCTTGAGAACGTAAACATTAACGTAAATTACTGTCTACCAATTTGGTTAGTAGACAGCTCTCACCACACTACTACTACTACTACTAATAATAATAATAATAATAATTTGCTTTATTCCAGAAACAGTACTAGTGGTACAGTGTGGAATTTCCAACACATATCTACAATATTTGCATATAATTTTCTCAAACATTTAAAAGGAGTATTTCAAAAAATAAATATAAAAACAACAACAACAAAAACAAAAAAACAAAAAAATAATTTTTAAAAATGCGAAAAAATACCAAGAAGTAGAAAGGAAAATAAACAACATAAAAAATAATATCTCAGTATTGGGTAGTGGAAGTTATGGTATGATTATGCATGGTGACAGTAAAGCTGTAGTCATACTAGAAGCTATGAAATGATATTTAAGAATGTTTATCGTCAAGATGATCAGCTAATTTAGGTTGAAACAACACTAAACAATAATAAATTAACATTTCAGGGTTGTTTTTTATCAGGTCTAATGCGGTGTTTGTAGTGGTAGAGTTGTGGTGAGAGCTGTCTACTAACCAAATTGGTAGACAGTAATTTACGTTAATGTTTACGTTCTCAAGATTTGTCGTGAGAAAATATGAACAAGACTGATTCAAAACCGACCACAGCAGGCTTTGCGTAGGCGGATACAGTTAACATATAGATGATCTGACATTCAAGAAACAGTCACAAATAGATGAAAGATTAACTTTAAGTGAGAAACAACCAATCAAAGGACTGTGTTTGTTTGCTTAACTAAACTATAATAATGTACATGAAAATATATAAATATGCTTTGATTTCCTTAATAAAGGATCTGTTGCCTGACCCTTGTCTTCTGTTGTTACACTGTAACCATACATCTTGTCAACGCTGATCATTTATACAAGTGTTGGTTTGCAGGGATTTGATTGTTATCAGGATCTCATCATGAACTGACATTGGCGTACAGCAGGTCGGGTTTGAGAACAAATATTCGCCAGCGATGACATTCACTAGTGGTCGTGCCATATCAGTACTTGGCAGAAGTTGTAATTCATGGTCCCAGTGGCTTAATAGTCTGCGAGCTCACTGGCCTTGAAACCAGTAGGTGCTGGGTTCGAACTCTGGAGGAGGGTGTGTACTGTGAAGAGTCCAAATCCAGGACGAAACAGCTATCCAGTATTCCCTGGGGGGTTTTCAATGATCCCCTAACCGATGAAATACTGATCATTTACCCTGAACAACTACCTCCTCCTACAAAGCTGTTTATATAGTGTGAGAAGCAATCTATCAAAGTGACTGTGTATTGCTAAAACTTTAACTGTCCAATTGGAAACGATGAAGTTTTGTGTAAGAATGAGATGCATTCAACCTCTCCTCTTTTCATAATCATATTTTTTTGGTTTTCTAAAACATCCTCTCACATAATTTATTTGCATTATTATTACTTATTACGTAATATCAACTTCTTTTGTTTCTATGCTAGCTTGTCTTGGTAACAATTTATTCACTAAATATGTTGTCATGTTACGCAACTCTTGAGGGAAAAATGATTGTGACTATTCAATCTTTACTATGCACTGACTAGTACTCACTCGTCTTAGCAACTGGGCATTTTTAAGTTATGATTAACTATTTCACTTGTTACTATGTTTATTAAAAGTAAAATATCTTTAAGCACTAAAAACACAGTGAACAGAATGATGAGTCAGAAATGTAGATCATTATAAATGCACCCCGGTTATAAATATAAAATCACCAAAATCAATTTTTTTTCATTCAACCACTTGTCTTCTTTTTGTTACATGTTGTTAAATGGATTTTTTTGTGAATAAGCGAATAATTCGTTGGAGGATTTCATTATGAGCTGGCGTCAGTTAGAGAACCATTGGAAAACAAGCTCAGAGTACTGGGCAACTGTTTCGCCTTTGTCTGGGACTCTTCAGCAGTACGCATCCACCGGGGTTCGAGCCCAGGACTTCCTGGTTAGAAGGCGAGTTCGTAAACCATTAGACCCCTGGGACGAAGCAGCTGTCCAGTAGTCCCTGCAGGTTTTCCAATGGTTCTCTAATCGATTTCAGTTCATGATGAAATCTTCCAACCAATATCTGCAAAAAAAGCAAATAATTTACAAGCCCCAATGAATTTTGTTCAATTAACCTATTGTCTTGATGTCAAAGTGACTGAAAGCTCACAAGAACACAATGATTAAATGACTCGATTCCTATGATGACTGTTAATACAACCGGATAAATGATCTCTTGACAAGTGGTGAAATCTATGCAACATACTCATTTCTAGATAAACTCTGAAGTTGACTTTCCTTGAAAACCAAACCATGAATTTGTTCAAATTTCTATTTCAAATAAAATATCACCCGAAGAATCACTGAAAACAACCGGACAGCGCGTAAAAGTTTCGTCCTAATTTAGACCTCTTCATCAGTGTATAGTTATGACTTCGTCAGGGTCAGAACTCAGGAACTTCAGAATACAAAATGAACAATTTTACTGTTTACCTGTCGGGCTGAAATCTAATCTAACAATCCATTACTACAAATTAACACTTGAAAATTAATCGCATGCTCACTGGTACCAGATTATAGGATGAAATCGCCTGAAGCTCTAGTTGGAATTCGTGACCAGTGGGGTTCACCTGGTAGGGTGTTAGGATAAATACTCGCCTACGATAATGGCTGGTGGTGGTGGGGGTGCTAGAAATTGCGAAATGATAGAAGTTAGCACTCATAGTGTGACTATTGGATTCCGTCCCATTGGCTGAGTTCGCTTCGTATTATGAGTATCTTGGGTTAGTTCCCCTGGGGGGTCATGGGTGCATAATAATCAGGTATTTCGAACTAGAACGAAACAATTGTCCAGTATTCCCTGGTTTTATTGGATCTGTAACTGATATAAATCCTTATCAAACTTGGAACAAATCATTGCCTTACAAAGTGACACCTGGAAACCCTAACTTCTGCCAGTTTGTAACATGAAGCCCCACTGATATGGTACAAAACTTGAACGAAACTAGGCTCTCTATTTTTCATTGATTATCTGATTGGTGTCTCTTTAATGACGGAATTTAAAATGAAATTAATCAAATCCCTACAAGGATTCCTGGCTTTCACCCAGGCGGCCCGGGTTCGATTCCCGGAGCGGAAGTTCTTTGTGTGTCGGTGGCACAGTAGTTAGGACGCTCGCCGACCATGCAATGGCCTGGGGTTCGATCCGACGAGGCGCTCCTTCACCTCGCCAAACCAGTAATAAAAAGGCGGTAAAGAGGAATGGTTGGGCATGAGGCTAGCAACCTCATCCTGTAAAAGTAAACACTGCTACAGAAACTTCAAGCTTGTAGCTTGAAGCCCTATGTTCCATTGGGAACGTGAAGGAAAAAAATCCCTATAAACTCAAAGTTTGAACTGACCTAAAGTGTAAAAAGGGGTTATTGTCAGTATACGGAAAGGCTTAGTAACACACTGACACCCTGTTAGCCGTTATGCAGGCTAACTAGTTTGTAAATCCTATTTTCAAGTTTTGGTTTTCAAGGATATGATTGATTTTAAGTCTAATTATGAACTGACTGAACAGTTAGAGAACCATAGAAAACCAGGGAGTACTGGACAATTGTTTCCCCCTTGTTTTGGACTCTTCAGTAGTACGCATTTATTACCCTACGGGGGACCGAATGTTTTCACATCGAAGTTTCGAATTCCATAGTTGTATTAAGCTCTAATATCTTCCTTAGAACAGTAAAAACTACAAAAATTGAATTTTTCACTGTTTGTTTACCTAGGAAACCAGTTGCTGAAGTGAAATATAAACTTGCTTCTTTAAGAACACTTCTGCCCTTTATATTTTCCGGTTAAAATTATTGAAATGCCTATTTATCTATTATTTATTTTATGTTAGCGCGACCAATGATTTTCTTTTTGTTACTAAAAAAAGTCATCTACTTGTGAAGGTTTTATTCAGAGAATCAGGTATTTAGAGAAAGCTACAGGAAATCTATATCCCTTTCCCTCATTCATTAGTATCATATAGTAGGCTAAAATGTGATTGGTCGTTTTATCATAGACAGACAACCAATCGGAAAACAGGTAATTTTCCCAGTCTTCCCCTCTGCCTGACAATTTACCCAGTAAAATTGTTTGTTCAACAATAGAATTAAAACTCCTCACTTTGTATATAGTTGTAGTCATAGAAAGAACTACTTGTGCGTGAATTACACAGATATCTTCTCTTACAAGAGGAATAATTTGTACGATTCAGCATAAAATGGTGAAGACACGGAATAATAATAATAATAATGCTAATACTAACAGTAATCATATTAATAATATTACTGAAGATTCTATGGATGATTTCGGCGGCGATGAAACTGGGTAAGTTCAAGGTAATTTTTCAAATGTAAATGAAGGAAATCAGTCATCCTTTGGATATTACTGTTATGCTAATTTTTTAATGACCACTCGTCATAGAAATAAATTCTGGATAAGTGATGTAGGAACTGATATGGGAAAGGATGTCTTACGCCTTAATTATTTTACTTAATACAAAACGACAATTTTTTGGTAGCCAGCTGCTATTGTATTAGTGATTTCTGGTTATCCACAAATGAGAAACTGGAGTATGTTAGATGATGGACAACTGATAATGCAAGGGGATGCATCTTTGACAGAACATTTTGCAACTATTTTTTTAACTGAACAGTAAAGTATTTTTGGTCTACATAAAAGTGACTGTTTTTGTATTCCTTCACGTTCCCAGTGGAACATAGGGCTTCAAGCTAGAGACTTGAAGTTTCTGTAGCAGTGGTGTTTATTTTTACGGGGTAGGGTTGCTAGCCTCATGGCCAACCTTCCCTCTTTACTAGCTTTTTATTACTGGCTTAGCGAGTTGAAGGAGTGCCTCGTTGGCAGGGGATCGAACCCCCGGACCACGTGTGGCGTGGTTGGTGAACATTCTACCTCTACGCCACCGACTAACATGATTTTATAAGTTAGTATATACATAATATTTGACTTTACACTCTAATTTAGAAGGAAAGTTATGTTTTTTTAGAATTGGCTTATAATTTATTGGGCTTATTTTTCCTACTTTTATCCCATACAAACCAATATGCTTTAAATGTGAGAAATATATTTAGTATTATACTTACTAATGAATAAGGGGAAAATAACAAAATCAAAACATAATTTAATCAATAGTATGCTGGTAGGTAGCACTTAGTTTTTATTCCATTGTGTAACACATTTAAGAAAAGTTTTTATCTAGTAAAGACAAGTGGGGGTGGTCAAGGGATTTTAGCAGGTTGAAAGTGAGGCTGTAACTCATCGAAGACATTGCAAAGTGGTCGCGCTATGTCATGACTTATCAGAAGTTAGAATTCATGCACTGGCAAATTGGATAGGGTCCCAGTGGTTTAATGGTCTACGAGCTCGCTAGCCTTGTAACCAGAAGATCCTGGGTTCGAACCCTGTCGGTGAATGCGCACTGATGAAGAGTCCCAGACTAGGACGAAACAGCTGTCCAGTACTCCCAGCTTGTTTTCCTGTGATTCTCTAACTGATGTCAGCTCATGATAAAATCCTCCAACCAATCAAATAGTTAAAATAAACGAAGTGAAAGAGAGTTAACAATTGAGAATATTTTTGTGGCTAAAGCAGATAAACATTAGATACAATTTTTGAATACAAAGGTCAATCTTGAGTCTTTTAGTTAAGTTGTCATCTAGAGAACAAGACGCACTGTAATCCTATTGAATCCTGATTAGAATTAGCAGGTTTTTGAGCTAAAATTATCTTCTGTTCGTAAAGTAATCAGTGGATTAAATATTAACGATAATATGGCACCCTCAGACATGTAATCAAACTTTCTAGATGTTGTAGTACTGACTTTCCAAGATTGAAGTATGCTTATAATCACTTTTAATAATCACTGATGTTATCAAAAGAAAGGAAAGGAAAATATTTTGCATTCACTTGGATGATTTGTGAGGTATTTATTAGTTCGATGTGGTTTCCATACCAAGTTGAAAGAGTCACTAAAAGAAGCAGTTTGAGTCTCTTTAGTGATATACAATGTACACAACTGGGTCTATGATAACTAGTGACAAACAGTCACTTTGTAAAAAAGCAAATTATCTGTTCTGTCATCCTAGTTAACTGTGCAGAATCGTCACTAACAGTCTGACTGATAAATTGCAAGTGATAAAATAGATGTCCTATCTGCAATTAGTAGTGTTCTCTGATCTGTTTGGTTTAGTTGCGGAGCTTTCGTCGTCCTTCTGGACAACATCTTCAGCGCAATTTCTAGCATGAAGTGAACTGATTTAAATTTTCCATGAGTGATAGAATTGTGCCTCCTGGTAACCACCTTTGCATACGTATTGATCATTTTTTATTGACTTGGATTTTAAACTTTCTAGTCATTGTATTATTCTGTGCAAATAGTTAGGAATATTATATCACTTACCTCAGTCCACGGAACAGGGGTTTGTTTCTGATGTACCAGGATACGAGGCACAGTTGTTTTGTGGGGGCTTCTGATACCTATGAGTCGTTCCTATTGAAGTAGGTGGAATGGGATTCGAATCTGGGATTCATTGACTGAAAATCTAATGGTTAAACCAATGGACCATATCTTCATCTAGCACTCGTTTGCAACGTTTAATAATTATATGTGATAATCGTTGCCTTCAGAAATAAGCAATTCCTTGTTCTCAGTTGTCGCTGGGATGTTATTTTTCAATACAGAAATAATTTATCCACTAAGTCAGTAATACTTATGAAAAGGGTAGAAATTCTACAGAAGGCTTTGACATTAAGTTTTTAGTCTGAAGGGTTTGGTTGTTTTGAAGATAGATATCATTATAAACCAACATATGGAGGATTTCATCATAAGCTGATATCAGTTAGAGAACCATTGGAAAACTACCTGGGAGTACTGGACAGCTGTTTCGTCCCAGTCTGGGACTCTTCAATAGTGTGCACCCACCACCACGGTTCGTATCCACAACCTTCTGGTTACAAGGCTAGCGAGCTCGTAGACCACTAAGCCACCGAGATCCAATACAATGGCCAGTGCATAAAATTCTAGCTTCTGATAATTCATGACATAGCGTGACCATTTCGCAATGTCTTCTTCGATGAGTTACTGCCTCACCTTCACCCTTCTGTACCCTACCGGTCATGGCGTGCTGATGAAGAGTCCTAAATTAGGACGAAACAGCTGTCCAGTACTTCCAGCTGGTTTTCCAATGGTTCTCTAACTAATGTCATCTATTAAATAATGATACATTTCTTTCAAAAAAAAGTTCTGTAAATTTTTAGATCGGCGTTTATTGAGCCATTTCTGCTACTTATCAATAAGTTTCCGAGATTGTCCGAAGCATAACAGTAATTTGGCATTGGTGCTTCAGTGGTAGAACACTAGCCAATCACGCAAGTAGTCCGGAGCTCAATTCCTGGCCAACGCACTCTCTTAGCCAGTTATACCCTGGTAAAGAGAGAAGGTTTGGCGTGAAGCTGGCAATCTTATCTCTTAAGTAAGAACACTACCATTGTTACTCAGACTTTAAAGCTCAAGTTTGACGCCCTGTGTACCACTGGAAACGAAAAGGAATATAACAATAATAAATAATAGTGGTAATTTGAAGGCGAAATATTGTCAATAAGCTGGTGACTTTTATACTTACCATTTGAAGTGAAAGTCTATCTTACCTACTACATGCTGGCTTCATTTTTACCAAGGAATAATTAAAGTTGAAGAACTTAAAGTTCATGACCCAAAACAGTTAAAATTCCTACTTATATATATGTAAGAAGAGTTTTCCATTCTGTTACGTAAACTGTCCAATTTGAAAGCATTCCTCTAGCAACTGAACTGTTTCACAAAATAACGGTCACCTATTACTTACTATTACGTCATTCTAATGTCTAAAATTACACTAAGTAACTAAAACAATATGTGTTCAGTTTGAGTCATAAAAAGAAACAACATTAGGTGTAGATATGGACATGTTATATAACCATAATAGTAGAGGTATGCAATCTTGGATAAAGCAAAGTAACAAATCAATTTTTTTTAGGGGTTGAACTCCACTTAATCAATAATGTTAAACAAGGAAAACCTGTTAACTCACACTCAATATGTAATTATAGATATCTGTGAAGACTAACAAAACTGAACGTTTGATACTGTAGACAATTCTTATGAAATAATCAAACCTTGGTACCATACTTTTACACTATTTTAATAATTACGTTTAGTGTTGATAAAATAGTGTCCAACCTGTCCATACTTACAGGTCAGTAATTTAATACTAACCTTGCGAAAGAATTTTTGTTAAGATAGACAACAGATGATGGAGAACAAGAAGAAGAAGAATAGTTACTGATGTGAAAATATGTGTAGATACTATTCATTTTCATATGTCAGGCATTAGCAATGAAATCAGTTACCGGAAATATGATCTACATTAGAAATTCTTCCTTCTACCTTTTTTCTTTGCTTGACTAATAATTCACAAGCTCGTTGTCATCATATGAACTTCCTGTTTAATTCTAAACATAATTTCCGTTGTATTCAATAAGCCACCTAGCATTCAAGTGTTGGTGTACGGGGATTTGATTGGACAGTTACTTGCCGAGGATATTGGCTGGCAGTAGCGCTAGTTGTCTCACAAATTGGCAGAGGTAGGAATTCTTGGGCCATAAGATCGGGTCCCAGTGACTGAATGGTTTACAAGCTTGCCTTGCAAATGGAAAATTAAGGGTTCCGTCTCCAGTGGGTGCGTGCTGTAGAAGAGTCCCAAACTGGGACGAAACAGTTGGTCGTTCAGTACCCACCGACAGTGGTCGAACCCACGACCTTCTGGTTACAAGGCTAGCGAGCTCGTAGACCATTAAGCCACTGGGACCCGATTCAATGGCCAGCCAGTCCATGAATTCTAACTTCTGATAATTCATGACATTGTGCAACCACTTCGCAATGTCTTCTTCGATGAGTTACTGCCTTATCTTCAACCTGCTGTGCCCTTACTGGTCACGGCTTCCCACTAGAACCCCAGGTCACTGCCTGATCCATCCAATCAAAAAATCCCTACAAAACCAATACTTGATAATTAGGGAATATTGTTTAAAATTGGAATGGTATAAGGCAGTATGTAATTCTACTAAAGCTTAACTGTTTTCAACAATCAACCTTATTGTGACATTTTTATCACTAGTATTCATTACTCTCCTGCTGAATGGAATACTGGGCATCAGAGACACACAGCTATGACAATGGGTTCTTTGTTGTCATTTCCAGCTGACTTCATGACAGTTCACAAGCTTTCATTTCCTCTTCACTTGGTCTTCTCCGTGGATGCTTAGCTCAT